TGCTTGAGTTTTATAAACGGCCTATATAACCGCCTCTGGACCCTCAGCCCAAAAATAATGACCCCGGGTACTCCAGCACAATTACCTCTTGTGGGAGGGTTCGCCGTTCCTCTTGAGTGGTCTCAGGTGGTAGAAGGTACTTGTGAAGACATCAACCTGGCTCTGGATGAAAAAAAAAAAAAAAAAAAAAGAAACAATAAACCAAAACCACTGCCCTTATATGAAACTCCATTAGTAGAAGCCAATTTAGAAATGGCTCTAATATGGTCCAATAGATCCACCACTTCTTTCTTCTCTAATAATTACACTAAGTATTCCACTCTTGAACTGTTGCTCAGCTCTTAGAGGCTCAGTGGTATATTATTATGAATCGGAATATTTCATGTTAATAATTTCTGAGGCATATTTTGATTTAAATTAGATTAAAAATATAAAATTATTAAATCACAACACATGGAATTTGCCTTCAGCAATCTGCTCTTGACTTTGTTATAATGCAGCCTCTTTAAACTGTTTTAAAATTTACTCATAGCTATAATTAAAAAAACTTTCATTTATATTAAATCAGTTAAAAGTACAGTGAAAGCAATCATTTTCTAAATTTTGATACAGCATATTAAGTTGTATAAAACGAGTTGCTTATCATAAATTCTATTAACAATGACTTTTTTTGGGTCGGAAGATACTGCGTTCTTTCTAAGCTGGGTAATATTCATTCGATCAATTTAAATACATAAAATTATTTACTATATAATAATGATGAGATGAAAAAAAATTGATAAATGAAAATATTAAAATACAATCTGGAAAGTGTGTCTGATAAAAGAGCCTGTTAGATATCACTCTTTATTGTCTTTCTGAGAATAATGGAAACATGATTTACGCAATGGAAACAATATTTTAAAAAATAATAATAATAGACCTTTATTCTTATTTTGAAAAAAACAGGGTTTTCAATAAAATATTAATTTTTCTTGCAATTGGACTTATTTTCAAATTTGTTGTGTTTGGTAGTATTTTTTAGATAAAGCAACCATTTATAATTGTATGGGTAGTTCAAATCTATATCATTTCTTTTTTATTTCATTCCTTCTATTCGAAACATTTCATCCAAATTTTGAAAATGTTGAAATAAATTGAAAGTATCTGCTATAATATATTGCTTTAAAAAAATTATCTTATTTATGACCGGTGTAATGAAAGTATAACAACTTTTGCCATTATTTTATATATCTAATGAATTAAATAAATGTCAAATATACTCGTATATCGTAAACAGTTCATACAAGAAAAAAATATTCAATAGCAATATTCTATAGTATGGCTTCACCTTAGCAAGAATAATAAGTAGAACAAGAAAAGGAAGTAGAAAAGAAGGACCGGTAAAAAAACAAAATAAACCGAAAATATATGTCGCTTATATTTTCAGGATCGAACTGTTAATTTAAAATAAAATTAAAAAATAAAATTCGCAACAAAAATCAGTTATATCTTAAAAGCAAAAAAATCCTTGAGATGACCAAGATTTATACCATAGTAAATTTTTGCCACAGTTTTAGGAATTAATTATTCCAACCTCACGCTATTCCTAATTAGCAAAATAGTTTCTCCTTAAATGGAAACTGAAGCCTGGAATTCCTAAAATCAATTCTGTTAATTAACTAAAAGGAACTCAAGTATTTTTTTTTTTCATTCAGACAATGCCTTCAATAATGTTCAGGAGGATTTATTATCGTGATCAGGAAAATGAAACTTTGAAGGATTTTTATCAAAATATTATAATAGCAATATAATTTTTAATAAAAGCAAATCGTTTGATTTTCCTAGTTTTTCCCGTTTAATATCCAAGATTTCGTTCTTTATTTGAAATTTAACCTCTACGTAGAGTACCTGAAAGGCAATAACATATTATTAAGAGATGTCAAACGTATCAACCAGATGCAAATTCTGCTTTAAAATACATACCCAATTAAATGAATGAAATACATAAAATTTCCGTAGGTAATAATTCGATCTATTGTCTCATGAAATAAAAAAAAAAATTGAAAAAATCACTATGAATTAAAGGAAGTAGAAAAACATGAGGTATGATATTTTCATTTACTATCTTATAATTAAAAAAGATCCTAATTTGAATTGAAGTTATTTTATGATCGAATGGGGCTGATTAATGTTCGATTACCTAATGTATTATTGGATCTAATGTTATTATACCTAAGTAAATTATGAACGTTATTACAACATGTTTTTTCCACTATCATATAGACTCTATGTTGGACAAACATTATAGTGGTATAACACCAGCGGGAATGCGGTTTCTATGTAGATCGATAGGCAAAACTATGAAGGATCGCATTAGAAATGAAACTATCAGAGAACAGCTGGAAGTGTCTGAACTCAACACCACCTTGGAGAACAGGCAATTAAGGCAGTTGGGCATGTATGCAGTATGAACGAAGACATGAATCCTATAAAGATATTAGAGGCTCTACCCACACGGAAGAAACCACGAGGACGTCCCAGAGTTCCATATCAGGAGTTCATGCAGAGGATCGGCGGTAGAAGAGGCAAATGAAGCGGTTAAGAAGAGTGGCTGCGCTGGATAGAGGCTCCTCGACGCTAGAAATGACATTGTGAGGAAGATCAAGAAGAAGTTTTTCCCACCCTTAAACACAAGTTGATGAACATATGTTCAGTAGTATGCACTTCTTCACGTTTTTTAATTTAATTTTTGTTGTGTCAACCTAAATTCTTTTTAATCAAATATGATCAACTTAAATTTCGACATCTTATCTGATTGTTAAATCTTCCGTTGTTTTAGAGGGATTTCTTTTGGGGAATGAACGCGGTGATTCCGTCCATTCGTTTTTTTTTTTTTTTTTTTGCACCAACTTCACGATTACGAGGATGTAGAGCCTCCTCGATATCCCGGAACTCCATTGGCAAAAGACAGCCGTCAAGAAGAGACTGGAAGCGCTGTTTTTGTTTAGGCAATAAATTCTATTAAAGGTTTCGAGAGCTGTACCGCTAATCCATTGTGTTATATCGCTGCGTCACTCAAGAATGCTCAGTCATTGCTTGGCCCGTCGTTTGCTTTCAAACCACTGATGGTTCCAAAACAATTTTTCGATTCTATTCCGAATCGATCTCTGCCTCTGTAATGTTACTGTTGCGAACTAACAGACCCATTCCATGAGATTGATAGACTGAAAGCTAGTCTTCATTTCCTCACGATGATGGATTTTATATTAATAATGCATAATAATGTGATATTTTTATGATGACCTTTTTATAGGTATATATTTAAATACTAATTTATGTTGTTTTTTCTTTAATAAAAAAAAAGAAATAAATGTCCTCAGATCAACTGAAGAATTTCAATTAGCTGGTCCACTTATATGATTTCAATTCTCATATCTCAGTTCCATTCCAGACAATGTCCGACAGCTCTAGAATTTCCGACGTGTCGTTAGAACGCGCTATTTATATTCAGATGGCAGCGGTGACATTTATATACTAACAAACTTCTATATTATTAACAGTAGCTATCCATCGCCAGATATATCAGCTCAAGGAGGCTGTGGTCCTTGAACTAGTCAGCCCACAGTAACGAGCTGTTTACTGGGTCACTATTAACATGTTACCCAGTAACGGATGAGGAACTAGTCGTTATCTACTACCTTTGTTGGGCATTCCGGTCACGGGTTGTTGAAAATGTAACAGCTATTGTTATCTATTCTTGTTTTCCTTCCGTTATTTGAGTCATCTGGTGTGGTCCTTGTAACCTTATACACTCAGCTGTAGCTTCAGTCGAATATATATATATTCCTTCCACTATATATATATATATATATATATATATATGTGCTCAGAAAGACACACATTCATGTGAGTATACTAGTAAATCATGAATCGATTTTAAAACAGCGATATTATATTAAGAATATCAACATTAATTGGTTTATGTTAGAAAATAAAACAGACAGAAAATTGGCTACTGTTTAATGTTTGCTAAAATGTGAATTATTTCATTCTTACATAGACATAAATCAGTTCACTAATATTTTATTAGTGATTCAAATTATCATTTGATTCGTAAAATTTTCCAATTTTTTTTTTTTTAATTTCAACAATCTAACTATTTTTAGTCCGAGTTTTCTTTCGTTGGTCCATTTCTACATAGTCTATATTTATAATATTTAGTGCTGCGGTTTTCCAGAAAAAAAAAAAATAGCATTGGTAGATATTAAAAATGTATAGATTTTTCTAGTGTCAAATCACAGATGACATTCTGATGACATCAAGAAGATATTCAAGAAAAAGATAGAAATAGTGTAGATAGAAACTTTATCCATCATTAATAAAATAAACATCTAAAATATTACATATATGTTTAAAAATTCTCCATACTTATTCTAAGTAAGAATCAATTTACCTCCATATCTACAATTCATGAACGAATTAGACAGTGATCAATGCTTAGTGGCTAATATTTGATATAAGTATTGTTATGTAATCGACTACACTAAACCATATGCTACAATAAGTTAAAAACAGAGAAATAATTATTTTTTTAAAAGTTTTAAATAAAACTATGCTCAAAAGTATAATTCTAGAGTAGTTACTTGTGTTATATAACGCATTTGCATACTCTTTAAATGATTTCAGGATATGCAAAATACGGGAACACCAGAGTAGTCTATTGCAAGACGTATCTAAAATTAATTTTAAAATTCTAACAGAAAGCTGGAAATTAGTGTAATAAGTAGCATTACTTTTCATTCCTAAAAAGTTAATAATTAAACTAAATAAAAACGAATGACCTACAGCATTTTTACTGAGACTAAAAAAATTGAAATCTTCAGGTATTAATATTATTTGATGGATTGCTTGTGACCAGAAGAAATGTAATTGCACCTAGACACATTAATTAAGCCGTGACATCCGTAGCATGTTGCCGTTCACTTCTTCTTATCCTCTTGGAACAAGATATTACCGAACTATGTTCGCTCGCAGCAGAACGATATCTCACCGCGCTCAAACTGTCCATAAATATATCCGCTACATATGGTAACCAGGGCGACGGCTAAGGCAGCCAATAAGAAACAGTTCCTCCTCGGTTGCCAGGGTAACATGTAAATCTTTCCCCGCCCTGACCTACTATTGGCTCCTGCATCGTTATGCACTACCGGCTCCTTACACGCTCTCTATAATTAAAAATATGGTCGAACCATATGTTCTTATAGCACATTAGTTTTTGTTTAATTAATTGTTATAATTCTTTAATTTGCTTTTATTGCTGTTTTTTTATTTAATATGTCAGGTTTGTATATTCAATAATAATATATAAAAATTTGGATATCAAGATTTAAAAAAATAAATTAATTCACTTTTGTTTATCCGAAGTTCAAGGTATTATAAGATATGTATACATTTTATATGTAAATGAAAATAAAGCAATAGTTACAAATTAAAAATATATTGTCCAAACCAAAAATTGTTAATTAAAATGCCCGAAAATATATGGTTTCAATAATTCTAAGAATTATCTGAATATGTAATATTAAATTTTGTTGAATAATTATTATTATTATAGCTATAAATACATTTTTGATACAGTTTTATCACCAAAATCTACCCACCGCTTGAAGTCCTTATTATGTTTCCATTATAATTTAAAAATAATATAAATTATATCCTAAATTATATGGAAATAGAACCTGAATGCCGTAAAAACATTTTATTTTGTTACTATTGTGTTTGTATGTCGCTGTATTGTTGTAAACGCGATGAAATTCTCAGTTCAAAACATGTATTTTACTTAAAATGTATAGCCGTTCGCGATTGTTTCTTTATTTTGATATTTTTACATTCTTCTAATTCCCCTATTTCGCTTTAGCGCCACCCCCTTTTATTTTATTCATTCTTTCCCTTTTATTCTAATATTATTTTGTATCTGTAGGTTCTTCATTATATTATGTTATATTATATTATGAGTTCGTGTACATATAAAAAAAAAAAAAAACCTGTACCACAAACAATCCATGAATGGTCCTGGATTCAGCACAATGTGAGAAAGGCCAAACGTTGTGCAGAGAGGTGATTGGGCTCAGACCATGCTCAACTGCCTGATTCCCCCCTTGATTAATTATTAAATTATGAGTACCAACTTTATAGAAGCTGAGTGTGCCCAAAGAGGGTCTCCTAGTCCCATGGTCGATCCACGGTTATGAAAAATTATTAGTCATTAGCCGGATTCGAACCTGGGACTTTCAGCTCTGGAAGTTAGTGCCCACTGAGCTACCTCGCTCCAACGCATATACATATACATAACAAAATTTTCATATAATGCATAAAATCAACTTCATTTAAACTTAAAAACAAACATATAAAAAAGCAAAAAAAAAATTAAAGGTTTATGTTAGCTTTATTATAAACAAAATATATCAGATAAATACCTATTGAATAAAAATCAAATACATTTATAATGATTCTTATCACGAATTATCGGCTTTATTCAGTACAATTCATCCATTATTTTTTAATTCCTTAATTTATAATGATTTTAAAATTTTATAGGTACATAGGTATTAGGTATATAGGTAATCCTGCTAAGATAGTGAAAATGAAATGATGATTGATAAGACGATAGATATAAAATTAAAGGTATTTTTTAAATTCTCCCTGAATCATCATCATCATCACGACGGCTTACCACCCACGACGTGGAGAGCAGAGACAGGCGTAGCGCACACACATTACCCGCCCGCTCTCCGACACCGGCACTGTGGACCGGAGCTGATAAGGATTCAGCCTGAGTTAGTTGGAGCGGCAGATACAAAGAAATCTTGTTATGAATAGTCAAGTGCGGTAGCCTTCCCCCTCGAGGATTACATGCCTTTCCTTCACGGATCTACTGCCATGGATGAGGCCTTCGACTTCTTCTTGGTAGGGGATCACCGGTATGCGTTGTAGGAATATTAGATATGAATCACAAAGGAATAAAAAAAAAATGGGCAAATGGCTTTTTTAATGTTGTAGAAGGATTCTTAAATATTATACACTATCACTATTTAATGCAAATAGTGCTACGATTTATTTTTAGTCATAATATTTACAACTATATTACAATAGAAATTCATAGAGTATATGTTTACACAGGGATATAATAACATGAAATAGCTTGTAGAGAAACTACCCACTGGTAGCACTCTAATAACATGTCTAAATAATGAGATCACGAGACCATATTCTTTTCAGACGCCTCGGAGGGATGTTTTTTAAAAATTATTTTGTATATTTCTTTTATTTTTTTAATTCACAATCATTAATGGAAAACCAATAATTGCTACGTATCCATGGTTAATAATTGATACCCTTATCTGCAAAATAGTCACTTTACAATAAGAACAGAGTATTCAATAGGAAATATTTTAGTTCTAATGCTTGTATTAGCTTTGATAAATTGGTTATTAATCACATATCGTGGACTCCAATGAACGTAATGAATGTGAATCTACTCAATGTTAACTTTCGACTATGACCATTCGTTACTGCAACATGTACATATTAAAGCCAAGAAATAAAATTCCAAAACAATGACACTACTGGTACTGATTACGAAACCATTTATATACATATCTAAATACTGCTAAGATAAGATCGCCGTTCAAATTTGACATTTTGTCCCAAGGTGGGTCTTGAAAAATATGGAACACCCACAAAATTGAAAAATGTGATTTTTCACATTCGTTAATTTAACATAAGATCAAGATCTACGGGGGAGGGAGGGGGGTAGGAGGGCTATGGGGCTGAAGCCCCCCTCCCGAAATTGTAGAATATAACCATGTTTTATGGAAAAAAATATTTAAAAAATATCTCTTAAAGTATTATTGTTCGTGTAAAAAAAAGACTTAAGAAATCATTTAAACAGCATTTCATATAGGTAGTTAGTTTCTTTCTTTTTTTCTAAAGTAATTATCGTTATTTTTATGAAAAAAAAAAAGCTTTCGGGCTGAAGTCCCCTCCCCAAAAAAATTAAATCCTGGATTCGCTAATGATAATATCTAAAAACACATTTATGAGAATTAACTAAGAAGGAACAGCTTAGCTTTTTTTAAAAAATAGTTTTATACGTATATGTCAATGGCGAAATTAATAAACCTCAGATAAAATAGCATAATCATTCATGGCAACTTTCTTAGTTTTGATAAATACTTATAAAAACATTATGTTTCTTTAGAAGATGAATTGAACTATCGTTTCCGCGTCCTCTTAATGAGGAATAAAATTTTTTATCCTCAATAGAAATGAGAAATTATCCTTGTAAATAATCCATTCTAGCTCATCAATAAAGTCAGAAATTAATTATTACTCCTTTATATATTCGCTTAATCGCTTTTATTGTTCGAAGGCAAAGGAGCCGACAGTGTTTTTCTTTTTCAGGGCTTAAGTTGGCAGTGGAAAGGTCACACGTAGAAAATTGGCAGCAACTATCTTTGAGGTTTTGTGTAGCCAAGTGTGAATTATCGCGTTATTTCCCCTTAAGCTGTATCAGTCAATAGTTTTCAGAAGCTTTTGACATTGTATTTTTATGTATTGACTATGATATTGACTCGTGATAAATTTAGAAAATTATTGATACTGAGACAAGTAGTTAAAACTGCCCTTAATATGATGATATAATCTCTCCAAGAGCTAAATTTGTTGCTCATCAGTTCTTTATAGAAAATAAAAAAGTTTTTACATTGTGCCACATTATTTTCAAAGGAAAAAATATTTTTAATGAAAAAAATCTTAAGTAACTTATTTAAAAGAAAGAAAGAAAGGCGAGAGAGTTTATTTCATATTTTCTGAAAAAGAAATTATGGACATATATATTTAATATTTGCTACTTACTGTTAATTAATGCAGTACATTTCTCCCTTATTACCCATTCAAGGAGTGTAATTTGCTATGTCTGTTTATTATAAGTGCTGATATTTTGAGTGTATGATAACCTATTTTCAAGTTTGTAGGCTCAAATAATTTACTGAGATCCAGAGAGTGTTTTAAAACATAGTGAGCTCAAAATATATGTGAAGCGATTTTTTGAGCGAATAGACAACGGATATTAATGTTTGATGGCTCAAATCACTCAGTGAAAACCCGCAAAGGTTTACGTGTTAAATGCATATACAATAATTGTCAATTATTGAATATTTTATAATATAGAGTACTCTTGATTTTTTTTATTTCATAAAATAATTTGAGTAAGCTCACGATCATGTGGAATGGTTATAATTGCTATTTAGTTGAACAACTAAAAACATTTTAATAAAAAATAATTTAATTTTAACTTTAGTTCGAAAGTGGAATATAGCAGAATAATACAAGTTTCAAGACCTCTATTTCAGTGCAAACTGCCTATGTGTTTGAGTGAATATGTAATAATGTTAAGAATGAATCCGGTTATAAAATAGGGTTGTTACCGTAGTCAGTTTATTATTTTTATATAGTTTTGTTATTTAAAATAGAGAACTTTATTTTACTTGTCTAAATAGAAATCATTAGTTGAAGAATAGATACTTAATATATATATTGAACTTCTATAACCTTTTAAACTGTTATAACCTTAAAATGTTATAACCTTTTAAGCTCGATTCCCACCTGGATCTGTTAATATTTATTTCTCGGTGGCTCCAAAGAAATGATTCTTGGTACACCTAATCCGTATATGGTGGAAACTTCTAGCCATTAGAATTTTGCAAAAAGGGCCTAAAGGTCTGCATACTGGACTAATTCTTCACCCCATTAACATTACCAGCACTGGAAGGTTCGATTTGTCAGCATTGCTCCATATTTCGATGAGCACTAATACATAGTAATCGTATGAATATGGCTCATCCTCTACCATCAACATCTTGGAATGCTGTCTTCTCCAGGCGATCTGGAAAAGGACAGGAATTTTAAAGACTTAAATCCCTTGAAATTGGAAATTAGGATGGGATGAAGGAAGATTGCAGGCCCCATTGTTCACTAACCGGGTCAGCCTATTGTTTCTCACTCCAGAAGATAATTGATAATTGACTGCGGTCGTTGTCATTGTGTACGCACGCGCTTGCGAGATGTCTTCTTGGATCTTCTTTGTTCCCACGACCGGCTGTAGCTACTGTTGTCATCGATGTATTGATGAGTGATATTATTTACTTCGATTTTCTATAAAGATCGATACATGGCTATTATAGGGATAAATGTTAATGTCTCACTGTGTGATCAGATCTTTATCAATTTATTGAGTTTATTAGAAATTATCTGGGCTATGTAAATAATAAAGATTACAAATATTTGAAACAATTTATATGATTTGATACACTAATAAGAAAATATTTGCATATTTCCACTGTAGAGCAAAAAAAAGTAAGTCAATTAAGTTAATACTAACAATCGATACAGTGGACTCCTGCTAAAAATATAACGTGATTTGTCTCCCTTTTTTCCCAGAATCAATTCGTAAGTCTGCAACTATCCTTATTAGTTGCTTAATTTTCTGTGAAATATAGTAAAATGAATGTACTTTCGGTATGCAAAATAGATTGTTGAAATAAAAACTTCAGTACAAAGTGATAACACATCATCAGTACATCGGTCATCTATCGTTTTTCAATTGTATTCAAGTTCAAAAAATTATCTTTTAGTTAATAATCTTTTGAAATAAACCTACAAATTATATTTTGGAATAAATCCGATTTTTTTAAAAAATGACCAGGAAAACAATTTTCGTGTTGATTTTTTTTTTTTTAATGAAAACTTTGGACTTATACTATAAGACCGACTTTATAGTGCACCTATGTATTGTTACTCTATGATATTAAATTAATTTTGAAAATATTATTTAAACTTCCAAGGACAACATTATCAAGAACCAAGATGCCGCCAACGTGTATCGAAGGCAACCCCGAAGCCCGTACGGCCGGTATTGCCAACTTGATGATATACGACGGTTTTGTCCCGGAGTCGCGATCTCTTTCCAGGCCTGAATTTGAATAGAACGTTCTCCGATGGTAGGCATTAAGGAACTGGCACTGTGAGGCTAAATAAGAGACGTGGCATTAGAACAAACAGCCAACTCTCAACCAAGTGCCGTTGGATTTGCATTTGTTCGAATACATTATCTATTCTCAGAGGATAAATTTTCGATAACTACTACTTTAGCCTTCAGTGAGAAGGTATTGTAACTGAGATTGCCTTGAATGTGGCACAAATGCACCTAGAGGAGTGTTTCGTAAGAGATTTTTCTATTTAAAAAAAAAAAAAAACATTATATTGCCTCTTAAGCTCACGGATATTCAATTGAAAATTTTCATTATTTATTAGGTTTTCCCATTATTTAATGTGTGTAGAATCATGAATGCATTACATATATAACAGTATTTTTACTTTCAATTTCCTACATATGTAATATATATTAAGAATACGTATTGCGTTCGTGAAAATTTTCGTATCTCAATTTTCAATGTAAATACTCGCTTTAAGTACATCCTAGTCTAAATAACCAAATCCGGTAAAATCTTGTGTGTTTGTATGAGTGTGAACAGCCTAGCTCAAAACCAAAAGTCGCACATAACTGGTATTATTTATTTATGCCTTATATGTCTGAGGTGTTACAGCAACTTTTTCGTCAAAATTGGCTAACCGGAACTGGCACTTTATACAACGGATTTTCCATTTTTTTTCCAATTTTCTCGAAAACGGCTCTGACTATTTTGATTAAACTCATTAGATCAAAGTATTATAAAGTGATTTTTAGTTTAAAGAAGGTTTCATTTTCATTGATGTTCTTTAACAGGGCTTAAATACCGAATTTCCAAAATGTCTTTATTAAAAATACCTTCAATTTTATTTATTTAAAATAGTTAACAATTGCACATTATAATAATTAATATAAAACAGATAAATACAAAGTATGAACGAATTCGATACATAACTAAGGGAGAACTAAGGGTTATTACTCCTAGATATTAAAGCGAAAATAGCTGAGACTTTTCCTGATTCCCCTCCGCTTAAACTACTCAACTACATTTAAACTTAAACTACATTTATTGTTAGTTTATTTGATAAAATATGTTTCTTTCGTACATAATTTTCAATAAGATTTTCATGCTAAATGTTGAGACTATATGTCTAGTAATATTAACTCTTTGTTTATCAATGTTTGGATAAACTAAAATTTTTACTAAAGATTCACTTTAACTTTAACTTTAATTTTAAAACAAGACCCCATCTTCCAGGATTCACTTTTACTTCTTATTAATTTAAAATATTTTTTATTTATCTAGTAGCAAGGAATTATCTTATAACATTCTTCTTATTCCTTTAATCTATATTTTCTTTAATAATGTATTTTGAATACGGCCACAATGTTTTGTATGGTAATTAATTATTTCAAATGACTATGTTATATTTTCTGTAGTTTAAGTGAAAGTTGTGTGATGCGTGCACCGCACTAGATTTTTTTTTTATTTCTTCTGTTTCCCCAAACCTTAAAGTTCACCAAACTTATCCTTCAATCATCTATTTTTTTTTTATTAATTATATATATTTTTATAATTTGAGTCGCAGTAACTAATTCTGACCTCTTAAAATTTCTCACAGTTAACATTCCAACTCATGGATAAATACTCGTGGATAAATCATTAATATCATACTACAATTTATAAGTAGAAGTGAATTCCATATCACATAAATAAAGAAAATACTTCTCAAACTGTTTCTTATTATTTCTTAAATGGCGTTTAGATAAAATGAATCTGTATAGATATGCTTTTGCCATGTCAATTTAATAATAAAACCTGTTAATGAATATGCATACATATGACGATATTAACTTTTTAATTATTATTTTTCTATATTATTTCATCATATTTAATATAGGATATCTTATTGAAAATGATGAATAATATTGCGCCGTTTTGAAAGAGTTTGACCGATTTACATTTCTCTTAGGGTTGCTCTAAAATAAATAGATGGGAAATGTATTTATTCAGATTTGTATTTTTAACCATATTAATTGTATTTTTCCATAAAATAACTCATTTTTGCACAATATCGAAAGGCACCAGAGTGAGTGAGGTTGTTGTAACCCGTTTCTAGAACACCGTTTTATCAGGTTTCAATGTTGCTAAGTAATATATGTATTTTTATTTTTTATTTTGGGAAAGCCCAGAGGCCTCTTTTGGATCCAACGAACAGAATGTATAAAGTTGTTTATTTAGAAAACGAAACTACAAAACTCGGAATAAATTTCAATAATGAACCATCGAATTTCTCTCCTATCCAATCCTTACAATGTAAAATCCTCAACCCTTCTTACTTTGTCACAAATAAAATCATCCATCAAGACCTTAATGTTCCATATGTTTCCGATTTGGCCCAATCCAGATATCTATCCTTCCATAACAAACTGCAGAACCATCCGAACCCTCTCGTTTCAAACCTTGCTTCCTCCTCGATCCCTGATAACCTTCCGAGGCGTCTGAAAAGAAGATGGCCTCAGGACCATCTAATATAGAAATTTAATTTGAGTTCTACCGATGGGTAGCTTCTCTTCATGTTGTATATGCTATGTTACCAATGTCACATTTACTTGTTGTATTTTTCATGTAATACAGTTGTAAATTTCATTAAAATAAATTTTTAAAAAATTTCAATAATAATTAAAATAAGAATAAAAGGGTTGAACTTTTATTTTATATATTATGTTTATGTTAGAAACATGTTAAATCAGTTAATTAAAGCCGGAAAAAAATTTTACCTGCAAAAAAAAAAAAAAAAAAGAGAAATAGATTCATCAGTTAGATTAACTTTATTCAATTTTAGTAGGCATTAATTAATCAATTAAATCAATTTTCTTTTTCAAAATTATGAAAGAAAAGTACTTACTCATGGAATTTCGCAGTTCGTGCTTTTTTTTTTTTTGTTTATTTGAATTGAAGTAAAAAATAATGTAAAGAATTATAACGGTTCAACCTTGCTACACCTCGGTTAATTTTCATTAGGAGTGCCTCCGCTTGTTTCGAGATCGCAGAAGCGGATACGTTGCTTCTCTGAGAGGAGGCGATGCAAACCGCAGCAACTCCTGGGAGCAGAAGGACACGACCCAAGGACCTGGGTTAAACGGGACGATCTTGCACAGAGGGAGAGGAAGCCCAGGTCGTGATCTGGGTAGCTTGTTCATTAAACACGGCGGGGACCTGTGCAGTGGAATATATAATGCTCTCTTGTCTAAAGGTTAGGTCTGAATAATAGAATTGTTAGGGGAGCTGTCACGAGCCAGGCTCCTGCACAAAAAGTCCAATGACATTCCCTCTTCCAGGAGGAGCAATTCCCTCAGGACTCTTGCTGAACATGCAGAAAAACAAAAACTAAAAAAAAAAGAAGAAAAAAGCAACGCACCCCGACGGTTCTCGTTAGGGGTAGATGAAGGTCGTCCGAGTAACGGTTTGTACGCCGAAGATCTATGTCACCATAGGTTTCCTTCTATTTTACTCAACCGATACTGGGCCCAATTGGTCTGAATGAGAATGATTAATTAGTTCCGGTACTAATACATTAGAATATGTTTTTTCACGATCATACCAATTAAACTTAAAATATTTGGAAAAAATATAAAAAACCGTGTAGTGAGTCATTTTCCACTAGTGTTGCCCAAAATCGGTCTTGGTCTTGCAAAGTTCAAGACCCCATAACTGTTGCGAGACCAAGACCAGGACTGGTAAAAACAATCGATTTTTAAATGAAAATTAAGGCAAAACAGTTACTTATACATGACAATCTTATTTACTATATGTTTATAATTGGTATAACCAATATACTTTTGCATTTGACTCCTCTAATTTTTCATTCGGGCTTACTTAGATTTCTCCTATCTAAAAAATTACATTAATATCTCTATAGCAATAAGCTAATAAGTTCAAGACTGTTGAGAGACTTTTGCGCAAGACAAAGACCATAATCAACACTGAATTTACAAGACCTAGACTCGTCTCGGTCTCGTAAAACGTCGATATTCACAAAAACGTTCTTAAAAGTTCAGCTTCATCAATAATGTACTTGCTGACTGTATGCAATAAACTGACGATATATTAGTCGGTTGATTTCTTCTGTTTAAGGGTTCGATAGGAGAACACATGGTAGAAAGGTTGAGAATATATTATGTTTTTTTTTTTTCAGGGATTAGATTTTGAAGGCACCGAGGAGGTACTGCCTTCCAGAAATAGTTATAAGAATTATAATAGTTTGCGCTAGATTAAATATAGATTATCTTTAGTAAAATTACTTATTTCATAGCCACATCATCTGGTGGTACTAACTTCTACCTGGTGGAGGTCCTAGGCTCGAAAAAAAAAAAGAAATAATACCTGATTCACCTGAGGTCAGATATCTGAGAAATTAACTTTTTCCGTTTCTGTCACATAGATGATGGATCGATTTTGAAATAGTTGGCCTGTCCAAAACAGATTTCATACGCTAAGCTAAGGTAAAATGTGTTGAGTTAATGTAAGAAGCATTTTTAACTCTTCAATCCCATTATCAAAACAAATATTATTCGATAAAATTGTATTAATCTGAGGTTATTGTTAACATTTTTAAGATTTGTACCTTCAGTTTCTTTAAAAAAAAAATTAATTGGTCGACGTTTAGAATAATAATTTTCGTAACCACTTATCTGAAATAATAATACAATTTCTATCAACCCCAAATATATTTTATATTTTAATATAACATTATAATAGACTCATTCTTTTTTATGAGATCAAATCCTTGGAATGGTTTCGATATTAAACTTTTGGTAATTTCTCAGAAATAAAATTAAAAGTTTATTATAATATTATTTTAAAATATAGAATATATTTCGATTTGATAGATATTGTATTATTATTCATAATCATAAGGGATAATTATACATAATGAAAGAGTTGTTGGTAACGTCGATCAGCTAGATTCTTTAAAAAAAAGAAAATTAAGGGACAAATTATAGAAGTAACAATTACGTAAAAAATATGATATATGATATTATTCAGGATTTTTTAACAAATATAATCAATAATTTTTGGGGTAGATATTTAAGTTAATTTGGCTGTTTAATTGAAATATATTAAAGAATATTATTACATTTGTTTGTATTTATTTTCTTATGTGCAATACAAATTAGAGCGTTGTTATGTTTTTGATAAGCTTTCGTATGAAATATGTGTTAGTAGTCTATGATGAAATAATTGACAATGCACTTTTGTTTAATTGTATATTATAGTATTATCCATGACCGTTAAAATAAAATTTAACCACCAGGAGTTTTCTTGTACAAAAGTCTACTTAAAATTCAACTTTTACTAATCGATCACACGACACAGTCCATAACATGATTCACCAGTTTATTTTATTGATACGAATGTATGGTCACCAAGCCCTATCGTCACAGATTTTTTATAATTACTGCACACTATTTTCTTTTTCTGAGTTTACCAAAATAAGGATGGTTTAATTGGTGTTTGTTCAGTAAGAAATATACTCACATCTCTACATCATAACTCGATAATACAATCTCTTCTGGAAAAACAAACACTCATCTCTCATAATGGCTTGGATCGTTGAACCTAGTTCGCCAGGAATTACCCAAAAGCCCCAAGAGGTGCCATAAGAGGCGGTAATAAATAAATGGCTGACACATCAATCTCAATACGTCAGCCCTCAATCGGAGGGATTAGCTGGACCAGGTCACGTGTTACCTAAACAGGTAATTAGTCGAGTCATCCTTCTTCATTAGTTCCTCTTCCAGTCCGCTCCACCTGCTCCTCTTGACGCCCCGCCTGTATGTTTTTATATTTGGACATTTTAAATTAACACCAATAGTTGTTATGGTTATGACTAGTCTGAATCTTCTACGTTCGATTCACTATGGTAAGTAATTCGTACCTTTTATCCATAAAGACATACCTAAATAATATTTTTTAAAAACTAAACAGACAGACTAATGTACGGTAATAACTAGTGTTGCCTAAATGCGAGACCGAGACGAGTCTTGATCTTGCAGTCTTGGTCTAGGTCTTGGTTTTGCGCAAGACTCTCGTAACAGTCTTGCAGTTACCTATTAGCTTATATCTAGAGAGATATTACTGCAATTTTTTAGATATGAGAAACCTAACTAAGTCTGCATGGAAAATTAGAAGAGTTAAATGCAAAAGTATATTGGTTGCACCAATTCTTTACATATAGTAACTAAAGTTGTCAAGTATTAGTGACTATATTGCCTCAAATTTTATTCAAAAAATCGATTTTTTTTACCATTCTATGTCTTGATCTTGCAACAGATAGGCGGTGTTGGTCTTGGTCTTGCAAAGTGCAAGACCAAGACCGATTTCGGGCAACACTAGTAATAGCTGATGTAATCGATATTACAATTTATCTATTTTTTAAATAGCTCCCTTTTTTTAAAAACTTATTAATTCAGAAATATTACAATCCGTCACAATTAAGGATATTTATATTAGTGTTAAGAGAGCACATTTACACTCTATTTACAATAAATAATACGGGAAAATAATAATGCTAAAATCTATATAAACAAAACAATTAAACTAATCAAAGTAACCACTAAAACACGAGTATACTTTTAAACAATAGTTACAGAATATATTCGCTCAGGAGAACTCCGAGCCAAGCCTCAAAGATCATTTTGCATATTCTTTTTAGACGAATATTCATTCCCATGGCGATCCTGTGATTATCATCTTAATTAGTAGCGTTTTGGGACCATTTGGGGCTCGGGGCTGATTTATTTTCCTAAAGATAAATAAATAATACTAAAATCCTACAATATTTTTAATAAAAACAATGATATTCTGATTTCATTGAATTAAAACTTATCAAAATTTTTGCAATAAGCTAATGATTAAAAAAAAAAGTGATCCACTTACTAAGAAACTTAAAAAACGTTTATTTATCTACAAAAAGAACAAATTCCAAGTTCGTTAAACAAAACATTGTGCAGTTATTCACTTGTATTAAAAAAAAAAAATTAAAAAAGCAACATAATAGGTCCCCAATTATTTTAAAAAAAAATAATACAGGTAATTATCAGATTAAACAAAAATATGTAGTTTTTGGAATGAACCTATCATTGATTTAAAATAAACCGGTCGATGCCATGTGTCCACACCAAAAAATAGTATAAAGTATCTACATTTTATTTATTATCAATATTAATGTTCTCATCTGATTAAAAAAAATGTATTTTTTAAGTCGCCATTCCATAAAAATATAAACAATCTCCCTAATGAGAGGTCCCACATAGTCTTGTCTAATTTAAAGAAAAAATTCTAAATTTTAAAAATAAAATTATCGCTTAATTTTTTTAAAAAATTGTAATCGTTGGGTCCATTTAACAAGTGATCTAATTATGTTTTTATTAGTAACAACAGGTCTATAACAGCAGGATAGTGGTTTTAGACTTAGTGATTCTCTCTTGGCGTCAGTAGCTTCGTTTTTTTTTAATATATTCATTTGAAAATTAAAACTGCAAGTTGCATATTGAATTTAATATGTGATTAACATAATATTACTTTTGAAAAAACTACCCATTTGTGGCACTCCTTGTCAGCTTACTTTTGATAGTTCGCGAGACTATCTTTTCCGAATATTTCTGATTATACTCATGAATCGATTGTGAAGGATGATAATTTCTAATCAGCTGATAGTGTAAAATAATTATGGATGTTATCAAAAAGGTTCAAGAAGGAAAAATCGATATTCCAGTGAACTGCACCAAAAAACAACAACATAGGGTCATTAAATATTTAAAGTGCTAAACATTTAATAAATTGATTTATCCTGTTTTATTATTTCATTCAAAGTTCATGACTGACAGTTCATGAATGAAGGATCCTATAAAATATGAGATTATATCCCTATATCTATACCTTTGAATCCCTTTTTATTTCCTAAAATAGTTTTAATGATCGATGTTATGCTAACCAATTGCTTGTTGAAACTTTTAATGTTCAGATTACAATTCAAAGATTTTGCGAATACCTCCTATCCTCATTCTATTCCTATTCCATTCATTCCTTTCTAATCGTGATATATTAATATATGTAATTTTTCTTATTATTATATCCAATTAATGTTGCCCAAAATTGATCTTGGTCTTGCACTTTGCAAGACCAAGACCAAGGCCGC